TGTCTATTCTTTGTTGTTTTCTCAATTTTTCGAATATTTCAACAGTTCATATTAGTTCAATAGTTCATATTATTAAAAAGTATCACACTTACTTTGCACACTGTCATATATTAAATTTAATCCTCATAGTAGGAGAAATACCGGCCTCCTTCAAAGAATCAATTACAGTACCAATTTTTGAGTCTGGGGATAAAAAACTTGTAACTAATTATAGACCTATAACACTTGTTGTCCTTTCTGAAAGAATGAACAAAACCTCGACTTTCAGAAAGGACAAAAACCAAGATGAATACATCTCAGTTCCATACCACCAATATACGAGGAACTTTAGAAAGATTTTCAAGGAACTAGGTATGAAGGTGGTTTTTAAAACAAGTCATACACTACAGAGCCTTTTGGGAAGTCCAAAAGACAAAGTCGAGAATTCGGACTGCGATGCAAAATATTATGGACAGACAAAAAGATCTAATGAAGTAAGATATAAGGAACACATAGAACACTTAAAATCAGGAAGATCTGAAAAATCAGCAGTCGCCAATCATATTTTGCAACAAAACCTTTCCATAGATAAACTATGTAACAAATAAAAATGCCAACATCTAGGTATTTTATTTACTAAAATTGACCTCTCATCATCTTCAAAACCTTCTGACACAACCTTAACAAAATTATTCCCAGGAATTCTAATCTACCTACGAAATGCAATTTGTATTGGTAGGCCCCTCTTTGTTGAACGAAAATATTGACATTCATTTTCAAACATTATTACAAATAAAAACAATCTTCAAAGAAAAGATGTTTACTGAATCATGAAACGAAGATGAAAGTATAAAAGCCTGCTGCGATGAATAGACAAGAACCCACAAAAGTACCCCTTGAGACTGGGTGTACGTTTGCAGTGGCGTAGGGGTGATCGGATTAGCGTCTATTGTCGATGGTTAATTATTGGATCTTTCCACTAGCGAAATGAGTTACGAGTGAAAAGAAAAACTGCAGATTTCTTTCGTCACTAACTGGGAGAAGTGTTTCTCTCCCAGAAGGTACGTAAGGTACACATTTGTTTCTTACATTATTTCACGATTAAATATTCTATCTTTGGGTGGTCTTTTCATTAAAAACTGAGACCGATAGTCTAATCAATGCCTGTGAAATATGACAATTCTGTAAAATTTTGTCAAACAGCACTGATCTGCACAAAATTTCAAATTTAGGTACTACTAACACTCTACTTCAAAGTTAACCCTGTACTGAGGGGTCCTTCACCCTGGGGGTGGATGCCACACTTTCTCGAAAGTGAAAAAGTGTTTTATTCAAAATTAGTTCTGAAATGGATAGAATAACTTAGTTTGAGGAATAAATTGATGGATGTAGCCGTTACTACGTGGTGGGAAATCATAATGAAGAAAAGAGAATTAGAACTTTCTATGTTTTTACAACTTTTATTTGTAACTATCGTTACTGCAGTTTCGTCCTATAAGGACATTTTCAAAATTATACATTAAATGTATAAGTTCAATGTATAAATTTGAGAATTGGAACTTTCTATGTTCTTAACCACTTTTATTTGTAACTAACGTTACTGCAGTTTCGTCCTATATGAACATTTTCAAACTTATACATTAAATGTATAAGTTTGAGATGTTTTACAGTACTTAGTTTTGAACAAATTTGAACCTGAAGTGAAAAAAGCATTTTTGTAATTTCTTCAAAATAGTCAAAAACTCTTTGATAATAGCGCGAAATACAACTCTCTGGAGATAATTAATCGCTGGAAGTCAAACTGAATCCGTGGCTGACATGAAGCCAACATTTAGACAGTTACTCAATTTCCTGAAGACGTCAAAGTAGTTGATGAAACGCGCGTCAAGAAGAGTAGTGCATTTCTGGTGATTGGAAAAAGTACTTGTTTGGGATTTAGACAGGAGCTAGAGAAGGGCGGAGGATGCACTATTGCTGGCCATGCACATACACGGAAAAGCATGGGAGCTGGAACCAGACATGATGTATTAGCATATGCTCCTTTGGATTGGTGGCGGTGATTGGACTAATAGTAGTTCAGTATCTTATTATTGTCAATGCACATCGGAGTGTACAATTTTTCGACGAGTTTTTTTGAGCCATTGTAAAAGCTCTGTAACGGTGCTAGGTTCGGCTAGCTTTCGATTGACGAAATTGTGAAATTGCTCATACTTCTTCATCCCAACTTTCCCTCCCAACCAAGTTTATCGAGTAAACCAAAAATTGTACCTTCAAGCTAAAGAAAAGTCTCAACAACATAATCTCAATCTGTGAGTATAATTTAGATTTCAAAAATTTCAAACTGAGCGAAGAGGGTACACTTATAGACCCATTTTTCGATGTGATTCTGTACCAAAAACTTTGGTACCTTCACAGCTGGTCCAGGGCAGATAAACCGTTGTTTGGCACACTCATTAGCTCTTTCATTGCCTGCGATGCCTGAGTGTCCTAACACCCAGTATATAGAAAATCTAGTCTTGCCCGCAAGTTCCCTCAGTAAACAGCACAGTATTTCCAGACAAGTTTCGATGTTACTTTTGGTTTCGTCAGTGCCCAAGTGCAGCCTGGGTGTCTGTAGAAGTATTGATTCGCTCATTTCTTCGAGGCCTCAAATAAATGGTCCCTGTGCATTTTGTAAGATCTCATTCACTTCAGCCTAGGAGATTTCTACAGTTATATCCACAACTATGATTTCTGATCTTACAAAGCTGTCCCTACACCTGGTTTAGAAACATAACCAGCCACACCAATGTCTTATTTTGTATTTTGGCTTCTGTAGTTACGTCTGTTTGACCATCGTTTATAACCATTTTGAACAGTACCTTCTGAAAAGTGACAAGGTAGTTATTTCATAAAGCTTGTCCATCGAAAGTTGACGACTTTGCATGTTTGTTATTTTTATGTTTTTCATAAAATTGACCATTAAAGACATTATTTGTCTTCTATCTGGATGGAAATTTATAAAAGCGATTTCTGTACTTGATTTATTGATTTATTTTGACAGAAATGCGACAACGAAATTGCGAAGACTTAACCAAATTATGCGAACCTCATTTCAAAACAAATGTTGAGTTGCTTTAATTTCTTACTCTATTTATCTGCCAGAAAAGCATGTTTCGTTCGAGAGTAATACCTCCTGAATGAGTTGTGGCAAAGCCCAACGTAGGTTTCTGTCTTTTGTATGTGTAGTATAGATGCTAAGCGGATTACTCGCCGGATTTCAGCGGATTTTTTTTCAATTTCCTATTGCTCATATATACCTACTTAATTAAGTCTACAAGCTTATATGGTTGCACACATATTGTAGAGGAAAATTCGTATATTCAATTCTTGTTCTTTGCTCTCTGCCTGCAAATGGGAAATAGGATGATAAGCTCTACACTACAGGGCGTGTACGTAAAACCTCATTATAAAAAAATTATGTTTGTTTTTTAAAATAATGTATTGAAAAAAATGTACCGGTAGTTTCACAAAAGTAGAAAGGAAAATTGTTTGTTTCTCAAAATATTCGCCTTTGAGGTTGGTATACGTTTGCAAGCATACAGAACGTTTTTTCAAATGAATTTAATTTCCAGCGATTCAAATCCATTGTGAATCGCTAGTGATTGTGTTTTGTCTTTGAAAAATTATTTTGTTAGCTCCCCGCTTGCCATACAAAAACGGGGTGAACCCGGTTAAGTATTATAAACCCGCCCATACCAACTGTAGCAAAACACAAAATTTTGTTTGTTAGCGCTTTGCATTACAACGCCGTAATCATGCCTCAGCCACCGTATTCACCAGATTTGACCCCCTGCCACTTTTTCCTGTCGTTTCACCCTCGCAAGTGGCTGCCATCTTCAGAGGTCCATATTATCGCATTCAATATACTCTATTCCTATTGTATCTACAGTCTTGGAAGCGATAACATGCCCTAAAACCCCGAAACAACAAACAGTTGAGATTACAGCTGAGTGGTAAAAATTGTTTTTCTCAAATTGACCATCAGGAGACGGTGGTCAAACCATTCGGTAATTTGAAGTCTGTTGTACCTACTTCTACCCTCCTTTGGAAATATTAATGAATTTTTGCCTGATGGTACTTTACATTCACCTAGTTTTAGGGGAAAATTGTGCTTTCATATATTTACAGAATGTGACATCTACCGTCACATGAGGAAAACATTCCAGGAACAGATGAAGCTGAACTACTCCAGAATTTAGAATCGATAGTCGCATATAGGAGAGATGGCGCCACTGCCGTAGGAATGCATTATTGTTCTGTGGCAGTTAAAACGGGATTTATTATGTTTCAAATTATCAATGAGAATGAAGTTTTCGTCAATCATTCGAGCCAGTAATGCCCATTTTTCGCGATTACAATATAATAATTTGTCTACGGTATGTCAGGAATATTTGCAAATAAGATTCATTTGGGGAAAATATCTCGACTGATAGTAATATCATTGGGAGGCAATTTGAAAAAGCATTTAAAATATTTGGCCTTCTACTTCTCAATCTTGATACAAAAAATTTCGGAAATCTTCCAAAAAAGGGAAGTACCTAATCAATTTAAAAAAATCATGCACAGAAGTAACTTTCAGACACAAACTGGAAAAAATCCTCGACAGCTACCTTCATATAAACATTGAATTACACTAAAGAAAATACTTTTCATTCACTATATTGTGTAGCAATCCTGCGGATGATATCTGATTCTATTCCATTACGAATTTTTAGAATACAAAGTGATTAGAGCAAAGTGTTTTTGTATAATTCAGCATTCACATGAAAGTATTTTTCTCTCGTGTAATTCGATGTTTATATGGAAGTAGCTGTTTCGAGATGGCTCTTATTCCAGTTTGCGTTACTTCTTAGCAATTTCGATTGAAATTCTCAAAATATTGCTATAAAATTGAAACATTATTTTGTTTATCGAAACAGAACTCATCTCAACATTTTCTTCACCAAAATGCTGGAAATTGTTGAAGAAAAAACCCAATATATTAAGCAAATTTTTATTGACAATAATAAACTGAATCATACATAAAGCTCTGATATTCTGTGTTGATTTAAAAGCAACTAGTTTCGTACAATTAGTAAACAACCATTGACATTCAATGACTGTCTAAGAAGTGTTCATTTTTCGTCAAAAAATTTCATCATAAATATGATTTTATAAGTGGAATTGAAAATAGTAGTAAGGATGTTTTGTTTATTGCTGCTCTGGACATACGCAACCATACGTTAAACTAAAAATAATAAACCTTCTCTAAATAAAATCAGACTTGTTGGCTTTCTAGAATAGCGAAAGATTTGATAAATGAACTAGTCGTTTGGCCCCAGTTCTTTTATCCTTTACCAAGGACCAACAGCATGATTTCATAAGAGATGTATAGAAAAAGTCCTCCCCACTCAACTTTTGAATGGAACAAGATGTATGTGAAATGGTATCACTTTTAGTACTTTTATGTAAGAAAGACAATAATGTTGTATTGTCGCCGAGATGGCACTTCCAACTCTTGTTTGAAATCGAAATGAGAGTTTAGTAATAGTTCGTTTAATCGGTATTTCAATTTACTATCCAACACTGTTTCATTTTTAGAAATCGGATCAGCTGTTCCTGAGAAATCAACAGTTATATATTCGTTTCAAGAATCACCAGTACATTTCCTACGTTATGGAATGTTTCTGAGTAATTTCGTTAGGAGCAACTTTTATTCTGTCCATGAGCTCAGGAATACACTACGATTGTGTAACGTATACTTTACATTTCACGAATCAGGTGCTCTAGCGAGCCACTTTCGAACCAAATTGTTATAATGGTACTGACTGTTATTGGATCAGTTGAAAACTGATCCAGTGAACCCTGGAACGGCCCACTAGATCACCTGATATGACGCCTCTAGATGTTTTTGAGGAAATTCGTGACATACACAACCGCAGTTCATTTCAGAGCTTTTGGGTGTAAAACGAGGCGCTTGCAGCGAAATCAACCCAAAAACATTTCAAATTCTGGAAAATAAATTTGCAAAGTTACTTTATTGTCGTCAGTGGATGGTGATCCATTGTGTTGTATATTGAATTAGAATACCGTTCAAATGAGGTATCACAAAACCACCTTTACGTTTGGGAGAAAATATGGTAGCGTCCTCTCTATAACGAATGGGGCAACACTATTGTCTTTCTTATCTGACCTGAATTTCTTGTACCGTTCAAAAGTTGAAGAAGGGGACTTTTCAACGTTCGCATTGTATAACATAAAAAAGATTCAACATAACAGATAATAATTTCAGAAATGTATACTCTACATTACTCAATTACAAACTAATTCGAAAGGCTATTGATAGAAACATTACTTTTTTAAGTATGCTAACACTAAACCTATTTACATTTTTTGAATTTACCGTTTGTGACCATTTGCAAAAATATAAATTAATATGTACAGAAGACATTTGTACTATATCCTAGAGGTACTTGCTCCCATTATTCATAACCTATTGTCGATTACGCTGAAATAAATACCTAATCATAAAAAGGTAAAAGTTACACAAAACGTACAAAAATTGTTTTTGGCATCATGAACTATGGAGTACAAGAAACATGGTCTGTAGCATCGCGAGAGGTGTAGTTCATCAAGATCTCGTACGAAGTAAAAACGTTGATAAATTAGTCACGTCGAAAAATCTGAACTCAGAACAACTAAACTGATGATGGTGATATATTCTGGTGCATCTTGGCCCTGATGGTTGGGATATCGTCGTCTATTCTGACGAGCAGGCGCATTTTCTGAAAAGAAAACGTTAGTAAGTTAAAGTAAGTTGAAAATAATACAAGAACACCAAGTGCAGTGAATACCGATAGAGTTTTGGTGGCAACTTTACTTAGCTCAAGAGTGGTACAAAAAGAATATTCGTCTAGTACCTTCGGTGTTATCTGAGAGTGAATCACTTTCAAGAATACAAACATGCCGGTACATCAAAGAAAGCAACGTAGTCGTCTTAAGCAAGTGGCATTGCAACTCATCCACAAAGTCACTGAGATATTTCTACCCGTTATGACCCTTGAGGGCATAGCGAGCCATTAAAATAGTGACTTGCGACAAACAACATCAAAAGAGGCGGCCGACGCTTTTGATCAATCGATGATCGATGAGAGATTGAAAAAGATATTGCAAGACAAGAATTTATTCATTTTCCGACAATTCTTCAATATAAAAAAATTCTGAAGAAGACTGCAGTGTTTGTAAAATTTCTGGCCGATCTTAAGAACGAATTTGCTACAAGATTCTAGTACCTAACAGAGATGAGCAAGCTATCTATCGCCATTCGAAGTTGATGTAGCGGCAGAATGGACAGATGTCACTGCCAAGTTGTTGAATCTGTCAAAGCCATCACTTCAAATAGAGATAATTGATTCGCAAGGAGATGTATCTTTGGGAGTGTATGAAACGGTATGCACTGAAGAATTTTGGGCCAAACATGTCCCAGAAAAATATGAAAAGTGAAAGAAACTGGCTATAAATTTGGCCACTATGTTTGGCTCGACATACGTATGGGAAACATCTTTCTCAAATAATTTTTTGAAAAACAAATATCGTTCAAGATTAACGGACACCTAACTAGAAGAGACACTTTGAATTTGCTGTTCCTGTCGAGAACCAAACTATAGAAAACTGGCTCAAGACCGTCTATGTAGTTTCTCATATTAAATTTAGGTCTTGTGTTTTATAATTCAGAATTTTATTTGAAAACAAAATGATACATAGGTAGCACTTAATTATTATCGATTCTTTTTTTCTGGGCCTCGTTAAAATTTTTCCACAGTATCCGAACCCCACCTAAAACTACTTGCCAACCCCTGGTATAGTATAACCAACATTTTACCAGCATTACCAACATTTTACCATTTTCAGAAGCTTTATTAACTTTGTGGTCCTAATTTACAGAGGTCTGGAATGGTCTGTAGTAACCACATATTGTGGTTACTACATATGTCATTTGTCAAATATGTTCTATAATTAATGATGATCTTATGTCTATGTCAAATTCACACTTCCTTTTCCTCCTCGTACTCGTCATTGAGCACGCTGGAAATGATTTTATAATTTTTAAACAACATATCAATATGTTAAACCCAAAAGGGTATTTATTGTAATGTTCATGTTCACATCTACTCAAAGTAGTGTTGTACTAAGGTTTTGTACAGGATCTTCTTGTACATACTTGACGAGTAAGTAATTCAAAAAAGAAATTAAAGTTCAACTTCAAACAAATTTCACTTACACAGCTTACTTGCAGGTATCGCACTGATGATGGCGTAAAAGCCGAAAGCGATTTGCAATTTACAAATAAATTATTTATACGTAATAAGACTCCATTCCTGATTTACTTCGGAGGGGACAAAATTGATTGTTGAATCAATGAATATTTTTTGAGAATAATGAAAATTCACCTCATTTTTTTCACAGACCTCGTACCCTAATGGATAAAAAAGAAGCTTGATTCATCTGAAAAGCATTTTATTACAACTGTAGGTCCTCAGGGTAGTGTTTTGGGGCCTACTCTGTTCATTTGTTCGGGAATTATGTATCTTCAATCAATCAAAATGAAGATACTGTTCAGTTTACCGACGACGGTATAAGTTGTTCTCATCTTGAAGATCTGTCTACAGGATTCACGCGATACTGTTGCTAATTTGAAGAATTACTGCTACAAAAATGGTTCAAATTCAACTCACAATTGACTAAGAATCATCATGTTGACTCAAAATTAAACAATTTATTAATTGCGAACTTGATAAACATACAGTTTTGTACTACAATTTTTAATAAAACCAAAACTAACATCAGGATATAATATGTTTTACTTCCTCTTTAAAAAATCAGTTGATGTGTTGGAATGCTGGAACACATACATATACTAGCTATGTACGGAAAAACCTTCAAAACCCGTGATAAAAACTTCGAAAAAAGATACAATACTCAAATACAGCTTCGAGATGGTGTTCAAGCTACCTTTCCAAAGAAATTTTATGTTTAGATGGTTTATTTCACTCACCGTCTGCCTATCTCCCGGAGTCACACGCCAGATGTAGATCATGTACCCTGGTATACACAACATGGAGGTTAATGCAGTCATCCAACCAAAAAGATGAGCCCACAGAGGAAATTCATAGTTTAAGTATTTGACTGGAGCCCACTGAATCAAATTGAAGAAGAACACACTCTGGAAAAGAAAAGCAGAGCAGTGAAGTAGAAGAGGAGAGTTGCGGCAAGTAAATACTCGGGTACGTACTGCATATTGGGATAACATACTTACCACACATATGAAAGGGGTGGCTATTGTCCAGCAGAATTTCCACCAGCTGATTGGGTAGTAGCCAATCATTTCCTTGATCCCATCATAAAACTTGTTAACACCAAAAGCCCAGGAAATCGCTATGCATTCAAAGAAGATCAGAAATAGTAAGCAGAATCCACTGACTGCATACGAATCTAGAATCTGGAAAACATACATACCACCCTGAAAAAAAAAAGATATTTTTCATTAACAGCAATCAATAATCTAAACGACAGATGAGTTCAAATATTTGACAGATACACCTTGGACTTTCCCTGACTATGTACCAGACATGTGGTGAATAGAGAAAAATTATGTTTGTCCAAACGGATTAACCAGTTCATATCCTTCTTTCGATAGTTGATACAGCAAATTGACGGTTTGTCATACCATCTGGAACGTAACAATGAAGGCGCCACATACATTGAGCATGCTGATATACTGCTCTCAGCAGGCCTTGTTTCAAAAGCAAAATTTTTTCCATCAAGAAGCTCGAGAAAAATGAAAAGATGAAGGAACAATGCCAGCGGATTTCAGCCTACCCAACCTGAAGAAGGTTTCAATCATCAATGTTGTGGCTTATAGCTGCAAGTCGTCAGAAGTAGAGTTTTCTCTAAAACTTTGTGGGAGCTTTGATTGAATCTCTATAAAGCAGTATTTGTCAAAGTGGTCGATAACGCCCCCTTGTGGGCGTTGGAGGTCTATAGGGGGCAGTATAAAGGGCACAGAGATGATTGGGGGGCGTTGAAGCGGTTTAGGGGGGCGATGGCTAATTTAAAAATAATTTTTTTGCTTTCAACACAAACTTTACCGCTCCTTTACGCTCAACGCGCGTTTCCTCGTGTAACGCCATCTAGGGGACTAGACAGTAACTATTTCCTGTCCGATAGTTCTCAAACTGTACAATAGATGGCGAGAAGTTTCTAGTCTCCATTCTCGAAAGTACTAGGCCCGCCCGCTGCCTCATATAAAACTGCGAGCGCCATCCAGCGAGTAATGTCATTCGACGATATTACGAAAACAAGTGAATTTAGTTAGCGACTAGCTAGGTAAAGTGCTGTACGTGCACGTGAATACTGTGAGTGGTGCCATTAGCAGGTTTCTAATACTCGATTCTTCACTTTGAAGACACAATTATGTCGTAAGCAAAAAAGAAGAAACGGCAGTATAGGGTGGAATATAAAAAATATGTATTTTTTTGAAAATCCCACAAATCCATCTTAGCCTATGTGCCTTCTTTATCAAAAAAACATTTTCGAATGAAGCGATGAAACCCTCAAGGCTACAAAATCATTGCAATAAAATGTATTCAGATAAAAAAGACAAAAGTGTGACTTATGTTCAAGAACTGGAAAAGAAACACTCAGCTCAGCCAACTGTGCGGCTTCGAAACAAGACGGCAGAGAATAACAAATATTTGTAGAATCCTAATGAATTCGATATGGATATTGTAATCCAACATGATGGAGCACCACCACATTACTCCAGACAAGTGAGAAACTATTTTGATACTACTTTTCCCGGTCGTTGGATTGGCCGTCGAAGTCCTACAGAATGGCCAGCCCGCTCGCCAGATTTGACACCTTTGGACTTTTTTACGGGGCTATATGAAGCAACAGGTGTACGAAACTAAACCTGCTTCAATATTGGATATACGGCAGAGAATAATAAATATTTGTAGAGATATTGACGTTACTGTGTTCGAAAATGTTCGGCGTGAAATATCGGATAGGCTGTTCATTTGTCAAGAAGTTCAAAGCAACCATTTCGAGCATCTCCTGAACTGATCTCAAACTTATAACCTCATATTATGTAATTAAATGTCAATGTATTCAGGCAATTATTAAAAGTTCCGCCATTTTGTAGTAGTGAAAGATATTGACATTATATTCTAGGTTTGTGAAGCATTCATCACGAGCTTCGAAAAGATGTGTCACAAGTTCCCCTTTCTATTTAATTTTTTTTCCAGATGGCGCTCAGTCGCCATCTTGAAAGTTTCATCTGTCATTTTCACTTCAAAATGAAGTATTCATGCATTAATTTCATTATCCCAAATTACAATTTTTTGAGCTGACCTGTTCAAAAAATAAAAGGGGGGCATTAAAGAAATGCACTGTATAATGTAAGTACGTACCTGAGATATGCATGATAATCCAACAAGGTAGGAAAGAAAGCAGACGATAGCGATGAATATTTCTTTCCTCTTTCTCAGCAATGCCGGCCACTCGTCAACCACCGCTGTCACAAAGCCTTCCATGGTACAAAACTGCGAATCAAGACCGATGAGAAGGATCATGAAGAAAAACAAGCAAGCCCATAGTGGTGATCCTGGTAATTGTAGCACTGCCGACGGGTATGCCAAAAAGGCTAGACCAGGTCCTGAAAAAAGTGTACATGTTCCTGTTAGTCATCTCCTGAAGACGAGTGTGTACAAACACGAAACTTTGTTTCGAAATTAGCAGTGAAACGGAAAAGGAAAGGGAAGGAACATGAGAAAGAAGAAAATATGAAAAAAGAGGAGGAAGTTTTAGAAGAAATTAGTTTTTGGGAAAACTCTGATTTTCCACTATTCCGTTATTATATAAATAATGGAAAACTTTATTTGTGAAATTATAAAACAACAATAAAAATTAATTGGCGCTCCGGGACGACTTCATTGATTCCAGTTGCGCATTTGCTTTTTCAGCTGCAGGAAAACCTGCAGCACCACACCATCTGAAAATGTTGATCTGTCAATGTCCTCTCTCTCATAAAACAAAGTGTAGGGTGTCTCTAGAGGCTCAAATAAATTCAATACATTGCCAGAACACGTCGTGATACGACTATCGTCAAACTTAAACCAGTCCGTTTCGTCTTTGACCAAGGCGTAATAATGATCAGATTCAACGCCAGAACCACGGTGAACAATGACTGCATGAATATTATAATAGTGGTCTGCTAGATTGAAATGTTCATCTATTTCGAACCTTCGGAAGATATTGGTGCTTCCGTCAGGGGTTGAGTCTTGATTGAAGATCATTAGTGTCATTATTAGATTGACTGGTGCCTCAGCTATACCTGTTTCCTTATAACAGTTAGTTAGTTTGGCGCATGTTTGGCAATACAGTCGACATCATCTGTTAAAAGTTCCATTTTCAGATGATTCAACAATAAAATTTGCACGGACTGGTTATTAGTCATATCAGGAAATGCTAGATGAAGTTCCAGAAATTCACATACGTTTTTGCTACCTCTTGAACATTTACTGCAAAGTAAACAAGTGAGGATTTATCCACCAAAAGATTTACAAACACAAGACGAGATGGACTGTACGGAATCATTCAATCTAGAGCGGTCAGGAGTATTGATTCTGCTATTTTTTGCTCACGAAGAGTATTCAACAAGAATCCCAGGAATTCAGAACAATCCTCTTGTTGTCCTAACGAGTATCTAGTGGACTTCAAAGACTCCAGAAAATCGGTTGGAGGGAAAAATGATAGATTCTTACGAAACTGCAGCTGCATGAACAGGTGTTTGAGTTTGGTGAATAAATGGAAAACTGTCGAAGGAAAAAGATGGAAGGTTCAGTGAAATTATTTTCCATTCTTTACACAAAAGAAGAAAAAACCAAGAAAAAATGTTTCTCCGTTAGTGATTATTTAAAATTATTCATAAGAAATTGTAAACATTATTAGTAAGTAATATATTTGTTAATAATATTTATTAAATAGCATGTTGGCTAAGATGATTATTGGTAATTTGGCCTAATAATTTAATTATCAATTTATGGGGAATGTTTTTACCTTGATGTGAAAACAGGGATAATATACCTGATGTGAAAACTAAGATAACTATCTCTGTTCTACTCTACTCTCTGAACGGCAAAAACTGCAAAATTTACCCAAAGAATTTAACAATACGATAAGTTTTCATTTAAAATGATTCTACTTTTGCATTTTTGAGAAACTTAATGTTGGCATTTCGAAGCTCCACATCTTCCAAACCAACTTTGAAAAGCGAAACAGTAATGAAAATAGGGAATTGAAAGCTTTTTCCAATGAATTATGATATGTCCTCAGTTTCATAAAAAAATGGAAGAGATAACCTCAATTGGAGGGTTTAAAGTTTTGAATGGTTTCTAGTTCAAAACTTGCTTCTCTTGTAGAACGTTTTAGAAGGCCCACTCTGTATACTTTGCAAGCTGAATATCACCATTTCAAAAGAAATTCTGTACTATTTCAGCGAATATTAAATAACCCCCTCAAAAATATTCCGGACCTCACTGGTACTTTTACATGAGACACAGTTTGTTATACTCCCTGTAAATGCCAATATTAGAAGGGGGACTTGATATGCATTCAAATTATTAATATCTTCAATGTAGTATTAATTAGAACGGAAGCAAATCGTTATTTGAAATTGCACCCGTTCATTATATGTCTCCCGATGAGAGTCGCTCCGATTCCCAAGCCATCTATTTAGTCGTGGCTCATGAGTGGACTCAGTATGGAAACTGTCAATAAATGCTGATGATTTACCTATTACTCTACGGTCTTTAATCTCGAAAATTTTGTCTCATCAAATTTTGTAAATTCTGAAACTGAGAATACATACATTGTCTCCTGACCTGCGACACGTGCTTTCCTAGACAATAGCTATTCTTCATTCTGACTTAATTCTACCTAATTAGTGAAATTTTACGAACTCAGTAATAAAAAAATAAAAAAAAATGAAGAACAATTAAGACGAAACGTCAGTATCGAATGGATCAGCTCTTGCCGTTATATTGGTCAAACGAGAACAATATTTTCTCGAAGAATTAAGGAACATATGACTAGTTTCTTGAATGTGGGGACCAATCCCACATTTGCAAGTCATCTTTTGAAAGAAAGGCACGAGTTCAATCACGATTATGATGTATTGCATTTGAAACAGAAAGGTTCAAAACTCAATATTTTATAATGCTTTTTTATAATGCTTGGAAATCGACTGAATGACCAAATGCAGCTGAATAATTCTCCTTTACTTCTTCTATGCTACTTAGGAATAGTTCGGATTTTTCCAATGAACGATTTTAGTGTTCGCTAGTCAGATCTTGGTTTTTCATTTGTATGAAGACTGAATTTATTAATATTTGAGAAAATCCGCATGAGACTTCGATGAGAGTATCTATAGACCATTATTCTTCAATATCGTTCAATAAGAGAGTGTGTGTTGGCCTACACCTGCCGATATAAAGGAGATGTCTCCCAGAGACCTGTCCACCTTCCTGGAAAAGACAGGATGGACGATGACCTAGGAGGACAACTCCTCGGGAGGATGTACATAGGGTCACATGTGGCCTAAGTGCTGTAGGTCTACACTCACCCTCCCTACTCTACAGATGCAGAGATGCAGATATCATTTTACAAAATAAAACATTGTTTTCGATGAACTAATGTGTAGTTTTAAAGTTGATTTGCGTTGAAGATAATTAATATTTTTGGGCAGAAAGTAGAAAACTTTCAATCTCGAGATTTCCTCTGAAGTTCTTCAACACCTCATCAGCACCTTTTTGGTGAAAGACATTTCGCTTAATTATTGTAAAAACTTTACGAATCTATGTCACTGGAAGACCCACATCTACTCTAGTCAGAATGACAGTTTGTGAATAAACTTTCATACAACTAGTTAATTTATTACCAGACATACAAATTTCGTTTAATTGCTGAAAGAATATTTTTTAGGAGGACAAAATTGTTAGGCTGTCGCGACGAGGTTTTCAGTGTCACTTTTTCGGGCCACTAGCAAATGTCAGGAAAAAAATCTAAAAATTGACGGCATTTTTCGAAGGAATTAGTAACTGGAAAAACCTAAGGGCTTTCTAACTCTCCATCATTTTATAGAAAGCAGGAAACTGACTACACACCACATTGTGGTATATAATCAGTGGCTTAGCTTCAACAGAAGATCCGCCTCAGCCACGGGCTTGACCGACGCCCGCGCGGTCGACCGATGATACGCGAACACGTACATGGCTAGGGCGGATCGTTAGTACTGATTATCGGTCCTCTGTAAAATAGATCTGAGCAAATTTACTGGACAGTAGACAGTAGAACAGTAGAAATAGACAGTAGACAGCTAGAATGGAAGTTTTTTACATGCAGAAAAACTCGTTATTCAAGTTCAGTGTGCTAATGAATTCTTACCTGAAGCAGCAACATCAGCAACAGGCCTTTGTTGTTCGTGGGCCATGAATCCAACGACAGAAAATATGACGAAGCCGGCAAACATACTCGTACTGGAGTTGACAGAACATACGATCAAAGCGTCTCTGAAATGATAAAAGAGGTGTCTCAGTACCAAGGAACAATGCATGAATGAACATTGAAAAGTTCTTCCTTACGGATAAAACCTAAAGCAGTGTTTTTAATATCGGTAACACACAGCTGACGCTACTAGTATTAAATTCATATGATTTTTAGGTAACCCCAACTTTCAAAAGACACGTGTACGAATTTCACAGCTGTCGGACTATTAGTTTGTGGGATAGAACATTTTGAGTGAAGCAACTTTCATTTGTTTGAAGAGGATGGGCGCATGGTATTATATTGATCGACTATTTCCAAAAAGGGAAAAACCATCAATAGCGACTATTACATAGCGTTATTGAAGCGTTTGAAAGACGAAATCGCGCAAAACGGACCCATTTGAAGATTAAGAAAGTACTGTTTCACCAAGACAATGCATGTTGTCACAAATTAATGAAAACGATGGAAACATTGCATGAATTGGGCTTCAAATTGCTTCCGCATCCACCGTATTCTCTAGATCTATATATCGTTCAGCCTGGGGCTTGAACTACCGACCAACACGGCGGTCGTTTTGTGTGAGTGAACAAAGCACCCAAGTCGAACCGAACATGAATCTTCTAGATTTTTTATGTGGGTCCCAGTTGGAATAGGAAGACTTTTCGAATTAATCTCACTGAACAAATTAGATTACAAATAACCAACTCCTTCTAGAAAAGGGTCTGACGAATTTTTCTCCGATGATGTAGACATTAAAGCAAACGAAAGGCATTTTCAATGCTTATTATGAATAGTTTGGAGCTATGTGAAAAATAAACTTGAGATTTATGATCTTTCACAGCTTTTTTGGGTTATTATTCCTGCTTAGTTGTCATTCCTGCTTAGTTGGAATTCACTAAACAAAAATCAAACCTGTAACAGTAGATTTTTCATTTGAAAATATGAAAGAGATTGCACTATGGAATCTATCGTTAATTATAAAAAAAATTCAATGTAAAGTCAGGTGTACCTCAGGGTTCTAACTCGAGACCTCTTTATTTTGCTCATCAACGATTTGCCTTCTGTAACTGAAAATTCAGACTATTTTATCCCTCCAGATGATCTCAAAATATTCAAGAAAGTTCAAAATGTACAGGTTAATTGCAAAATGATATAAGTATATTACGTTCATAAAGAGAACTGTGATGAAAAGTTATATATCAAAATTGAGAAATAAATTACATTATCATATTATTTTTCAGTATTGACCCATTAAAAGTGGAAGCACCCTCATAAAATATATTTTCAATCGATTGGAATGTTTTTTTGTCATTATAGTGAATTTTTTAATTTTTTGAATGAATTTTAGTTTTCAGGGCCCAACTTTTTTTATTTCTCAATGTCAAAAATCGAAAAAAAAATATTATTTCAGCACAGCACTGAATTCGCGTAGTTTTAAAATGAGTTGTATCCAAATATCGCCGAAATGAGTGCGTCATTAAGAAGTTATAAGCGAACAAAATTTGAAAATGTATTTCTGACAATTCTAATTCTGACTACTCTTTAGGATTCAACAGGTATTCGTTTATCTCTGTCCAGAATTTCATCGAAAACTTCATAATTGGAAGTTATGTCGTTATCAAACGACACTATAATTTACCTTAAATTTCTTTCTGTTCCTGTGCCAAAGTAGCCAAGTTGAAAAACTGTAGAACATAGGGATTATAATGAGTGATTTTTTGCTGGTATATTTTTGGCAACACTGTTTTTGGCAGATCACGCGTGAATCGTGTCTTGTGTCATTGTCAAACTTGTTCAGTTTGGTCTATAATTCAACCATGAATCGACTTACGAATGAACAACGCTTGCAAATTATTGAATTTTATTATCAAAATTCATGCTCGGTGAAGAAAGTGCATCATGCACTTCTTCCAATTTATGGGCAGTTTCGTCGGCCTACTGGGGGAGCTATTCGGAAGCTTGTGACTAAATTTTGAACCCAGTTTACATTATTGGACATTAAACCACCAACACGCATACGTAGAGTGATGACCGAAGAAAATATTATGGCTGTATTCGCCAGTGTTCGTGATAACCGTGAAATGTCGATTCGCCGCCGTTCGCAGCAATTTGGCCTCTGTTATTCCACTACGTGGAAAATTTTGGGAAAGGATTTGGGTGTAAAACCTTATAAGATATAGATGCTGCAAGAACTGAAGCCACACGACCTCCCACAACGTCTAACATTTGGTGAATGGGCGTTGGCAAAGTTGGAGGAAGATCCACATTTTTATCGAAAAATTGTGTTCAGCGACGAGGCTCATTTCTGGTTGAATGGATACGTTAACAATCAAAATTGCCACAGCTGGAGTGAAGACCAACCACAAGCATTGCAAGAGCTACCGATGCATCTTGAAAAAGTCACTGTTTGGTGTGGATTATGGGTCGAAGGCATCAAGATTTCATAATTTTTTCAAATTTTTGTGTTGTTTTGAAAATCAAATCCTATATCTCTTAAAAAATTACTGTGCTAAAGCTACTTCCTGGGTTTTTGGCCGTGATCTGCAGGTGTTTAGCATGACGTTTCGTGTACTACTGCGGTAGCAGTTTATTCATTCTCTTGAAGATGATCACTTGATGATTGAAACAATTTGTCTCCGATTTTATATCATCTTAATCGGATAAAATGACTTTGTTTTTGTACAATCAAGGACAGGCAGCCAAATTTCAATAATGGCTGGCTAACCTTAATTGTACACAAATGAGGTCGGCAAATGCAATTAAGAAAAACGAAGCCATGACCATCCATGATTAGATAGAGACAAATTCCTTCGATAATCATCGTTGTGATAATCATCATCGCCCTTGAAAATGTCCATCGCAGTAGCAGAGGCATAAAAACCTGGAGAACACGGCCAAAAATCCCGGAAAATAGTTTTCACGCAGTTATTTCCAGCCGTGAAAGTTTACACTTTTTGATATTCATGACTTTTGGGATACCCTTATATGCTAGTCGAAACACTTACTTATAGACATTGTTGGTGAATTTATTGTAACTGCCCAAAGCGACGAGTGTGCCCAAACCTAACCCGTACGAGAAGAAAATTTGGGTAACGGCATCAATCCAGACTTCTGACTGTGTCAGCTTTGACATATTGGGCATGATGTAAAACCGGATTCCCTCCATGGCTCCTGGTAAAGTGATACCCCGTATCAGCAGAACGCTCAGAAGGACGTAAGGAAAAAGAGCTGTGAAATACACCACTTTTCCAGTCCATTTCACGCCTTTCCAGATGCAGAAGTAACAGATGATCCAGACTAGAAGCAGGGTTCCAGCTAACTCCCATCGGATTGAACCGACGTGTTCAATTCCATCGGAAATTTGAAGAGCACGTCGCCTGAAAGAAAATAGTTACAGAGTGGGCTGATGAAAACGAAATGATCGAGTTTTCTCGTAATTGGATGTTTAGAAAAAAATTGCTCGGACCTGATATCAATGTTCATTTTGGGGGCCCCAGTCTCAGCAATAACCAATAAGATTTCGGCTATAGATTGCGGAGTGCCTCAGGGATCTGTTCTAGGGCCCCTTTTATTCCTATTATACATCAACGATCTTCCTAAGGTCGATATTGAAGGGTCATTCATAATGTTTTCCGATGATACCACATTGTTATGGCATGAAAAAAATAGTAACAACTTGAAACAAATGATATCATTAGATTTAGAAAAAGTCAAACAGTGGTGTGATTCTAATTTACACTTCTTCAACGTAGACAAGACCAAAATTGTGAACTTCAAATTTAGCTATGACAACTTGCTATTAGACGGTAGGAAGATAGAAGAAACGACTTGCACTAAAATTAGTTAAAATTTAAAGAACATATCACATCTTTATGCACAAAAGTGGCTCCAGGTTTGTTATGTTTGACCATGGCTTAGCACCGCTCAGAATCAAGACGTTGTTGTTTTTGGCACGCAGTTTATTGAAAACCTCATTAAATATTGTTCTTCTTTCATAGGTCTACAAAAAGTCCGCGATGGCAGATGTCTATCTTTTAAGGATAGCTGTCTGTCGAATTTACAGATTGGTGCCGTAAAAACTACTCAGTTATAAATCCCAGTAAAACTTTTTTTGATACAGTTCTACTCCAGAACTATCGCGATAACTGATTTTCAAGTACTTATGTTGATAGCAACATAACTTGGGAGTCGGATGTGAGTCAGGTCAGAAAGAAAGTGAACTGTGGTTATTATGGTATTAAGCAACTTTCATCCACCTTCAGTACTGATCAGCTTTTGAATGTTTATTATGCTGTCGATTATTCTCACGTCTCTTACAATATTATTGTATGGGGCTGCTCCACATATATAACATTTTCGTTGCCCAAAAGAGAGTGTTGCGAATGTTTGAGAATTTGATTTCTGGGAATCTTGTAAGCCGCATTGCATCAAAACATACGGGGTCTGTTCAAAAACTAAAGTGAATTTCAATTTTGTCCCCCTTCCAATTCTCGAAGCGTTTCTGATTTGCACTTTTTGGTATGTCCTTGAGCTTTCTCAGCGTTTCGGTTTTTATCTCCTCACTCGTCCTCTCTTGGGTCCATTCAATCTTGGGAACTGGAAAAAGTCGGAGAGAGCCAAATCTGGTGAATACGATGGCTGAGGCATGATTAAGGTGTTATTTTTGACAAAAAAACTACGAACAAGCAATGACGAATGAATCGAAAAATCAATTAGGATAAGCATCAATTAACAAACATAGTCCACATCGGACCAAAAACTTTAGGTATATAAACAGCTAACCATTGTCTTTGGATTCAGTATCAATTTGCTTCTCCTGAAGATGCTAAACTTGTTAGGGTAATTGATCTCTAGAAAAAGTTTTCAACTTTCTCACCAAAGGTTCCAATCTCATAGTTTAAACCGATTTTTGTGAAAATCTTAGTGATTTTGTGTACTTTCATCAATATGGCTTTCTGAGGAATCTGTGTCATTTGACAGGGATCCGGAATTTGAAAATAAGGACTTACATATAAATTACACGTTTCGAAGTTTTTCATAATCACCCATGGTGGAAAAATTCAGTTGAGATAACTTTTTCATGGGGTGATCAATTGCTATGATTGTAAGAATAAGTAACTGAAAAACTACCACTGAAAAATAATATGCCGACGCCTATGTCGAGGCGGGAATTCCTTCTCTGTGCTGTTCTAATTGGTATTGGAAATACTATACCACTTGTAAACATGTTTCTGACTCAGAGTACAATCACCATATGTCACTGTCAACATTTCAAGTGTTTTTGAGCACTCAAATCCATTCTTTACACAAATTCTGTTGCAAATTCTTTGATCTATTTGTTTCAATAGCAGAAAATCGACGAACACGCAAAACACCCCTATTTTTATGCTTCCCACCAACAAGCTGAGAATGCTGTATAGCTGAAACTGTGAACATATGTTCGAGACGAGTGTACCAACATAAACAAATGAAAACAATCGCCAGTCGAATGTACGTACCCCGCGAAATTTGAACCATGACCTTATTTTTTGAACAGATCTCGTACACTTGCATAGAAGTAACGTTGTCAAATATCATAAATGTTACATTCACGAAAAAGAAAATCTAAAGAGTATTGATGCCATTTCCCTAATAAAATTTTCAGGGATGTTTTTTGACTGGAAGGCAGGTTGAAGGGTCAAATGTGACGTTAATAATGTATCATGTTTACTTTCAAAGGAGGAAAGAAAAACTGCATTGATTTTATCAGCATCGAAGTCCTATACTGTGAACACACACAAATAAAGCAATTTTTTATACGTATCGTTCCAAAATAAAGCACAAAAAAAATCTTTCTCCTTCAGATTTTCTTCAGAACGTTTTCTCTGGATACATACTTCATCAAATTTAAAGAAGTGTGGATATTGTGTAGACTCCGTTGTTTTTAAAAGCGTTATTGCTTGACCCCTGAACCCATTTAAGATTTGAGGGTGGTATCGCCTCCCGTCGAGGGGATGGAGGTGACAAAAATGCAAAATATGCTTTTACAATTTCCCCTCAAAAATAAAAACCGATGAGTGCGAGCAATTTTCTTCTGAACCCTCACTATGAGAAATCGGCTCTGTTTCGATTTGGCCCACCGTGTATATAGTTTCTCCCAACTTTGATGAAAAAAGTGATGTATTTAGGAACTTTCACAAGGTGAATATTGCATTTGTACTTACTCCCAGAATTCCTTGACGGGATCAGTGAGATCATTCACTGAGACATTGAATTGTTTAAGTTGACAAACTTTAGTGAAAGTGTTGTTTGGGTTGTATTTCTCCCAACAACTCAGTGTTTTCCTGTCGTAGGGATTCACACAGAACTCTGTATTCCAGTAGTTGTTGCAAGATCTCCATGGGACATCTGAAATAACAATGAATATATAAGAAACGAGAAGGTTGTTGAAGAAATATTATTGTTCGAGTGTGGTATTTTGGTAGAAGGAGAACTTTTTCAGATCATGGTACGAGTAAATTAACATTTTTATTCCGGAATGTTTCGATTAGATAATTTAGGAAACACTTGCTACACGAATAGCATTTTACAAGTGTTTATGACGAAGAATTTCAAGTATGAGGTTTTAACAATGAAGGAGAACGAGAATGTTTCCTACTTATTCACCAAACTCAAACAATTGTTCATGCAGTTGCAGTTTCGTAAGAATGTATCATCTTTCCCACCAACCGATTTCCTGGAGTCTTTGAAATCTACTAGATACTCGTTAGGACAACAAGAGGATTGTTCTGAATTCTTGGGGTTCTTGTTGAATACTCTTCGTGAGCAAAACAGAAGCAAAATCAATACTCCTGACCGCTCTGGTCAGTCTATCTAGTAATGTGTTTGTAGATCTTTTGCTCGAAAAATCCTCACTTGCTTACTTTGTAGTAAATGTTCAAGAGGTATCAAAAACGTATGTGAATTTCTGGAACTTCATCTAGCATTTCCTAATATGACTAATAACCAGACAGTGCACATCTTATTGTCAAATCATCTGAAAATGGAACTTTCAACGGGTGATGATCAACTGCGCCAATCTAACTGACTATTATAAAAAAACAAGTATAGCTGAGGCACCAGTCAATCTAATAATGACACTGATGATCTTCAAACAGATGCACCAAACTCTTACGACGGTTCGAAATAGATGAACACTTCAATCTAGCAGACCACTATTATAATCTTCATGCAGTCATTGTTCACCGTGGTTCTGGCGTTGAATCTGGTCATTATTACGCCTTGCATGGTCAAAGACGATACGGACTGGTTTAAGTTTGACGATAGTCGTGTCACGAAGTGTTCCGGCGATGTATTGAATTTATTGGAGCCTCTGGAGACACCCTACATTTTGTTTTATGAGACAGAGGACATTGGCAGATCAAGATCTTCAGATGATGTGGTGCTGCAGGTTTTTCCGAGTTTTTCTGCAGCTGAAAAAGCAAATGCACCACTGGAATCAATGAAGTCGCCCCGGAGCGCCAATTAATTTTTGTTGTTGTTCTATAATTTCATGATTTGTATTTTGGAAGTGTTAATTATAATATATGGAATGTTTTGGAATGTTGTGGAATTTTCGAGTGCTCTCGAATGTTCTGGACAGTTCTAGAACTAAAAAGAGTGTGAAACTGCAGCCCTTAGAGCTTCAAAATCACTCCCTTCTGGTGACCACGGTAACCTTCTCCATTGACAAGCTAATACGAAATATGGATATAATATATACACCTTGCATCTCATATAGACCTAGGACTTTGTAGATACGTGTGGCAGATACCCGACAGAAAACCAACAGCTAGCCCAGCTAATCCCGAATAGAAAGCTGAAGCTGCAGCTGCAAGTCTTCCAAGTCGAAGACGTCGCACAGGTGCGTGATGGTTTTATCTCAACTCTCTGCGCGGCATTAGCTGGGTCAGTTGTTGTCTTTCCGTCGGGTATCTGCCACACGTACCTACAAAGTCATAGGTCTACATGAGAGGTAAGGGTTTGACACTTTCACCAAAACTTGGGCATTTTATATGCACCTATCCGTAATATGTTCATTTACTATTCTGACCCTCACTCCGGAGGTGTTTTTGGAGTTGCTTCCGGACGCTTGCTCGGATGCAGGTGATGCAGTGGTACATCCTACTGAATCAACTGCAGGCAGAGCTTATGATTAGGTCGATTTAATTTTGTTTATTCGGTATATTCAGACTCTTCACTCGTCTGAAATGAACCACTCGGCACTGACGAGGAGCTAGTACTCCGAAACCGGTCTATCGGTGGTCGTCCCGACCAAATGAAATTAATTTCAGAAGTATCCGGCCTGGCCCAAAGATGGCGGTAGTTATTTGAAAGTACGGAATATATAAGGCATATGTTTCAAGTTTGAAGACGCTGCGTTGTTTAGTATTCATTTGGCAGCCATCAATAATGAACGTTTTCGGGGAATTTGTGAAAATGAAGAAAATTTGACATTGTTATGTGGTTTAATACTTTTATTTGAAAGGTCTCAGCCCAACCAATATAAAAGCTGAACTGGATTCTACTCTGGCTGAGTCTACTTCTTTGTTTACAACAGTAAAATATTAGGTAGCAGAGTTTAAACGAGGCAGTACGAGCTGCTAAGACCAACATCACAGTGGTCGACAAAATGAGCGGCATTAGCTGGGTTAGCTGTTTTTTGTTGTTTATCCGTCGGGTATACATACAAAAAATAATATTTCTGAAAAAACTTGTTTTTAAACAACATCAAATTCAGAACGATGCATAACTTCCTATTCTTGTGAATAAGAAGGTGAATATTTGTAATAATAACACAAAAAGATGTACCTAGTTTCCGTGTACATATTCCTTTTGGTTCGAACAAACTGAATGAATTGTAGTTCAAGAATCAGTAGTATTCTTAGAAGAATATTATCCAATCGCTGGACTTCCTCAACTTAAATTAAAATAAGAACTAGGTACTTAAGTATGACCTATTTTAATCTAACTAACCACAGGCATTGTTTGGTTTAATTCAATAAATTTGAGTAGGTTGGGTTCATCATCAGTTTATGCATGTTAGTAAATTGAAACATCTGCATTGCAATCACATACCATACGAGATAAGAGAACCCCATTTCCAAACAGGTATGAATTACAAAGAAATGGACAAAATGAAGTATTCTCAATGCTGCAAAAGTCTAATTTCAATAAACCTATGAAACATATCACGTATATCATTTCAAAATGAAGTATAATCCAGTAAAGGTACGTTATTAGAACGTAACTCATGGACTAAAGAGTCCCGGGCGTTTTTTTGTTCAAATTTGGCTTCATTTATCAACGTATTTCCATCAAAAGCCACACATTACTTTCAGTGCCGCTCTCATTTCGATACCACGTTTGTAGAAAGATTTACCTTTTGCCTCTAAATAGGCCTCAGTTTCAACAATACACTCTTCGTTCGAGCGAAATTCATAACTAGTGAGAAGTTTTTTGAGGTCTGCGAACAGCTAATCGTCGCTGGGAGCCAAATCTGGCGAATACGGTGGATGTGGGTGCATTCGAAGTTCAATTCATGCAATTTTGCTATTGTTTTGATCGACTTGTGACACGGTGCTTTGTCTTGATGAAGCAAAATGTTTTTCTTTGCCATATGCGGTAGCTTCTTTGCAATTTCGGCTTTCAAACGTTCCAATAACGCTATATAATATTCATTGTTGATGGTATTTCCCTTCTCAAGTTAGTCGATGAATATTACACCACGTATATCACAAAATACCCAGGCCATAATCTTTCCAGCCGATTGTTGTGCTTTCGTGCGCTCTGGAAGAAGTTTACCAGTTGCTCTCCTCCCAGATTACGATCATTTTGATTCCGGAGAGAAGTGATGGATCCATGTTTCATTTGGACGTCCACTGTTTCTGCATCATCCGTGTCTCTACGACCACGTTTGCAGTCAGAAAACCAACGTTTAATTGTTGTTTCTGATAGAGCGGAGTACTTATAACACTTTTCAAGCCATTGCTTCACTTGAACGGTATTTTTTCCCATCAAGAAGCAGTGTAAAATTAAGACCCGAAATTGTTTTTGATCCATTGTTTTGCAAATAACAAAAGTAGTCTCACTCTTAGTACAACAACTCACAAACTTATGAGTAGAATATCATGAAATTTCAACAGCTTCCTTTTGAAGGTTAGTACTTTCTGAAAAAGCGGTGAATGCAATAAGACTAACGCCATCTATATGTTAGGCCCGGGACTTCTCAGTCCAGGAAGCATGTTTAATTAGATTGTCATATCTTCGAGATGATAGTGATGCTACTCCGTATTTAAATTTGCTTTAAACGTTTTGAGTTATTGGATAATGTTGAATTACCTGCTCGAAGGGACATAAAAAAATAAAAAATGGCCCATGCTAGAATAACAATGTAGTAGATGTTCATCCAGCATGACATCACTGCAGCTGCATATCCAATTCCTGAAAAACAATAAACTGATAAGGTTTCATGGAAGTTTACAAAATACATACGGAAAGAACATTGAAAGAAAGTTTTGAATTGAGTCAATATCTTGGTTTTCGATTTTAATTTTCCATTGGCTTTTTTTCCGTAACTTTACTCATTCATCGAACTTTATAAACAGCATCAGTAGTATTGTTCCTAAGAACACCAACGTATAAAATTTCCAAATCCCTGGTAAATACTATTAAAAACTACACAAACTCCTCATCCTCCATCAAATTCATTGCTAAGCGTTGATCCAGAAGAGTCATACAAAATTCTAGATGAAATGCAACTTGAAAATCACACAAACCTTCTAAATCATTCAGATATCCACACGCTATTATCTTCATATATAAACTAAAATTATTTTGAATTCAATAGCACCATATATAGCAACAAAGAAGGCCTCATAATGGGTAATCCTCTAGCCCTCACTTACCTGAAGTTTTCATGAACAACTTTGAAAAAAACCAACAACAATCTTTCAAAAATGTATTTATTGGTATAGGTATGCTGACGATTTTATGGCTTGCTTCACAAGAACACATCCACAATTACAGTCACTTTTTCAATACATAGTTTCTGTTCACGAAAAAATACAATTCACCATAGAACTAATAACCAATAGTTCGATAAACTTTTGAGACCAGCACACAATTATAAAAATGAAAAACAAACATGATTTTGCAAACCATCAACAACCATTCTAAATTGCCTCATCAGCATAAACTGGCAGCTGAGTGTTATCCACAGACTCCTTAGTATTCCTATTCCAGAGAACTTCAATGAAGAACTAAACTTGATAAATAAATCAGTAAATAACAACTCCCAGCCGGACGTAATTCATCACTTCCTCGACAAAAAACTATTCAAACAATCCGTTAAACAAATATACTGTCACATCAAAGATATAACACTTTTAAAACACTGACATATACACGAAAAAGAATAAAAAATAGGTAGACTACTAACTGAATAAAACATCAACATACATAACATCAACATACATAATAAAACATCACATCAACGAAGTAAATCAAGTGGCTCGTGTCTAAAAGTTTACATTGGAAGAACCTCTGGAAATTTCAAAACCTGAATCTCAGAACACAAGAAAGTTTTGAATCTATGCATGTCATCTGTCGGAAAACTATCACGACCTTGGCATAAACTACGACTAACTACATATTAAACGATCAACAAGAACTTAATTTATCACCACTGTTGGATTTTCTTTCAAGAAAAAATAACGAGAACCAATAATTTACGTGCTTCGTACCTATTCTTGAAACTACCTGTTTACAATCTCTATAAGTTGAGGTCGATAACTTGTATAAACTGAATTTTGAAGTAGCGTGGAGTACCAGTCCAACTGAGGATGCTATTATGTAGTGAAACGCATTGGCTTTTTTTTATTGTTTCAAACCCAACTCCCTCCATCCCATAACAAAAGCCAGGGTGCCTACTTGATGACGGATCCTATTGATATCGGGGAAGCCAAAAAAAATTGAGAAACAGTTTTTTTAAACTCATTCATGAAAGTGAATCACATAAATTCATTAAAAACTATCGAGCAGGTTGCAATCAATCTGAATTACCTAGATTATTAGATAACAAATATCATGAGATTGTAGACATATAATCATAAATCAGCAACATGGATTCAGTCGTGGTAGATCTTCCAATACAAATCTGCTCATTTATCAACACTTTTCAATAAATGCCACCAGGTCGATTCTATTTACACAGATTTTTCGAAGGCATTCGACCGAGTAAATAACAATGTGTTGTTGCCGAAACTAAACGGTTTGGCAGAGCCCATTTTGTAAAATATAGTAACTCAATAACTTCCCCAATCACAGTTCCATCTAGTGTACCACAGAGATCTCATTTAGGACCATTATTTTTCAACTTATTTGTAAATTACTTGATTGATGTTCTCTTTAGTAAATTTCTAATATTTGCTGATAATTTAAAGTTATCCATGACTAATCTGATACTATTTATCTAACATAAACAAAACTTTGTTACTAAAAACTAAAGCAGATTTATATCTAACCTACAGCTTGAGATTATTGTTCATTGAGATTCTTGTTTGAGCTGTTGCAATTTCACAGTTCAATTTGCAATTTGAAGATAGGTTTTTGAGGTTTCACTTTCATCTAATTCACTAATTGTATCATCATTTTCTTCACTTTGCTAATGAAAAAAAAACTAAGAGAAAACTTACCTTTGAAAATCGGCGCAATCTTGAACACTCCAAGGCCACCTATCGTCAGCATTTGACCAAGGGCTAGTTCCATGAAAAACATGGGTATTCCGGCTAAAATTAAGGTAATGAAATACGGGACGAGAAAAGCTCCCCCTCCATTCTTATAACACAGGTATGGAAATCTCCACACATTGCCTAAACCTATCGCCAAACCTACTACGGATAAAATGAAGTCTAGTTTACTACTCCATGTCCCCCGATCGTGGTTTGGACCTGAGTTTTTTGAATAATCTATTTGATTCACTAAATTTGGAACACTGGTAAGAGCCGGCAATTCAATTTCTTCGTGACGGTTCAGTTTAAGTGTGTTTTCGTCAAACTCCTTCATCGCTTCCATCCGGTCAGTCATTTTTGTTGTTTTAGTTTGTTTTTCCACCGTCAGCTCATGACATGAAGTGGGATCTGCAAACGTTATAGTAGTCAATAGACATCATTCATCTATAAGACATAATATATGAGAGAAGTAATGGATGAAGAGCGAAGTTAAACTAGTAATAATGTTTGTTCATATACGTGGATTGTTCAAAAAATAAGGTGGCATTCGGTGATTGTTCTCTGAGTCAGAAAAATGTCTCCACGTGGTACAAGCCCGGGGCGCCTCAGCACATCAATAACCGATGAAAATGTTGAGAAGGTGAAGAAAATTGTTATGTAATTTTGGACGGTCGCAAGAGCATCCCACAGTAATAATGCCACCGTATTCACCAGATTTGATCCCCTGCGACTTTTCCTGTTCCCATGATTGAAGAGACCCATGAAAGGACATTTTGCGACCATTAGGAAAATAAAAACCGAATAGCTACTTTGAAGGGGACAAAAATGGAAATCAAACTATTATCAATTTGTCAAAAAATGTTCCTGTTTGAAAAGCGTGTTTGAAAGCGTGTTTTTGAGTTTTTTAAACTATATTTATTTTTATTCATTGTGAATCTGAGAAACTGTCTACAAAAGTTTCGTGATCAAATTGCAACTTTCAAATTTGAAGTAACACATGAAAACTATTCTCAACTTCACGCGCGACGTAAATTGAATAATCTGCTTAATTTTTTTTAGTTTTCAATGTGAGAATTTATTATGTTTTCTGCAACTGAGCTAACTGATAGTTCCATCAACTTTTCTGAATCTTATCTTTTTATTTCTCAATATTTCATATTGTGTTCCGGACATGTTGATTTTTCCTGAATTGAATAATGAAATGAAAGTAATGTAATTGTAAAACCATGGACGTAGAACGTCCATGTGTAAAACAGTTATAGTCATCTGAAGATGTGCAAATCAATTATGCATTTCTTCCGAAATCATCTGTAAAACACCTTTTTAATTCAGGTATTTCTAGTAGTTTCTCATTCGTTGTAAAATAATGGAAAAAGTTGTTTTTTGCTAGGAATGTTGATAGACCTAACAGAAACAAAGAATAGCATTAGTGATTTGAAATACCTGAAAAAACCAATGAAAATGAAACATTGAAAAGAAAAGCTGAAAAGAGCAATTATATCAAGCAAAAACCCTGAAATGAAATTACAGTGAAATAAAATAAAATACAAGTAAAATACATATATTTTATTTCACTGTAATTTCATTTCAGGGTTTTTTTTGTTTAATATAATTGTTATTTTTTTGCTATATCTTTTAATTTTCCAGTTCATTCGGTCATGGTCGGTCGGTAGCCAAGCGGTTCGGCGTGGGTGATTTGTTCACTCACTCGAATTGACTGTTTTGTTGGTCGGTGGTTCAAGCCCTAGTCTGAACGATCGATCTTCACTTGCTATCGTCCAACCCGTGTTAGGAATCACACGTTAAAAGGTAAGACCTCGTTAAGCCTTAGCTCGCACAAGTTTCGACTTTTGAGGGTTGTCGTTTGTATAGGTGCGACAGCTGGTTAACGGAAAAACAGATTTTGAACAGATTTGAAACAGATTTCATTGGTTTTTTCAGGGATTTATAATCACAGAAATAGTTCTGAAGCACTAGAGTTTATTCTAAATGCTACAAAAACAAATTCTGTTCTAATTATAGCGTTTGTAATATCGTAAAAGGCATTCGATCCAAAAAACTTGAATTCTTTAAAAATGATACTTCGTAATTGGAATTCAGTCCTCAAAAACACTTGACATGTTGACAGGGGCATACGGTGATAGTCCTCTGAGTCAGAAAAATGTTTACAAGCGGTACAAGCTTCTCACATAAGGTCCAGAAGATGTGAATGACAACGCTGTCTCTGGACGCCCCAGCACATTAACAACCGATGAAAATGTTGAGAAGGTGAAGAAAACTGTTATGGAATTTTGGGCATGAAGCGTGTGGCAGCGAAGTTGATTCCAAAATTGCTGACTTTGACCAAAAAACGGTCGCATGAGCATCGCACAGGAATTGTTGAATGACGTCAACGGAAAAACAATTCAAGGCTTTTGCATCACGGCAATGCACCAAAAACAACAGCGTAATCATACCTCAGCCACCGTATTCGCCAGATTTGGCCCCCTGCGACTTTTTCCTGTTCCGAAGACTGAAGAGACCTATGAAAGGAAGGCCGAATTGCTGAGATATATCAAGGACATACCAAAAGTGTATTTCAGAACTTATTTGAAGATTGGAAAAAACGCTGATACGAGTATATTATATTTTTGGGGGGACAAGGCTGCTACAAGGTAGTATAATTGGCCCAATGATGTTTATCATTTTTCTAAATAACCTGGAGGAGATTTGTAGGGAAAATTGCAAAATGACAAATTATGCGGATGACACGAACTTGCTGGTCAATGCAGTGGACTATCCCGGTCTGATATCCATAACTGAAGAAAGCCTCTGTAAGGCAGATGAGTTGTTCAGGAGAAACAAACTTATATTGGATGACAATAAGACCAAAACTGTAATGTTCAAAACAAACCATGCAGGATTTGACTTACCTCAAGAAATTCGGCTGACGAATATTTCACACAAAATAGAAAATGAGTGCAAATTCTTAGGACTGCACATAGACAGCACAGTGTTGTATTCAATGAGAGTTATTGGTCAGTATGTCGACACGGATGTAATCGGAATGGTCTATCATTCAAATTTTGAATCTGTTTGTAGGTATGGGATTATTTTTTATGGAGATAATAGAAATGCAGGGCAAATTTTTATTGTACAAAAAAGAGCCTTAAGAACTATGCTGAAACTAAACTCTAGAGAATCATGTATAGGCAAATTCAGCCTTAAAAGACGTACACTTATAGGAGTCTATATACAGGAACTCTTGTTATTCCGTTTCAGAAACATATAACTCTAGAAATTTTGACTATGTATAACCAAAAAATAGACTAACTGTTACAGAATGGAGCCCGTATTATTATTACTTTGAAGGAAACGAAATAGAAGTTGATGAAAAAATTAATACTTTGAGACAATACTGAAAATTCATCTAATTTTTTTAACAGACCACGTATCCAAGTTCTGTCGATTTTGTGCTACTTCTATCAATAAAATATATTGAGAAACTCAATGTGGCAACCCGAAACAACTGTTTTGTGATTGGTGACCAAACTTATTGTTGAAACAAATTGAAAAACCTTGGAAAATACTTCTCTGCCACTTGCAACTCCTACACAGCCACCAGTCACTCCACACTCGGTAAGTACAGCACAGTTCTGAGTATGGCCAAAAACTCCCGAACCCACACACTGCAAACCACTGAGTTTCTTCCTACACACCGACAGCAACTATAATAGTTCAATCTAAGACCCGAAAGCCACTGAATATCCCCAGCAGTCAATTGTTGAGCAAACACAATTAGTTGATGAAATTCAGGAATCAAAATGACTGCTACTTAACTTATTTAGGTTTCGATCCTTCGGTACACTCACTATCACATTACGATCCGACTGAAATGGCACTTGCTGGGATTAATGAAGTGTTTATTGACTTTAATAAAGGATATCCTACCACGTCAAATGATTCTTTCAATAGTTGTGTTTAAAATTCAATCATCAACGGGTTTATATATACGTCCCCCCTTCTAGCGGAAAGGGGAAGTAATATATATTCGTTCCAATATCACTTTTCCTTCCTTTCCTATTTTGACACTTTCTATTATCCTGCCTGGCTACTTCTGGTTTTGAATTCACACGCTACACTGTTGTATTTTGAGGGACACTGTATTTGCTTTGGAAGTTTTTGTAGCTCAAGAGAAAGTCATACGTATCAAGGAGGTGAGCCGAACCACACTTGCCGCCAAATGTTGAAATAAAACTTGACATTCCCTTTTATTTATTTTTGAAATGTATGTCTTTGTATTCAAATATAGAAACCTTTTCATCGAACACACAATGTTACAGACCGGACTAAGAGAATCTTAGAGAAACACGACGTGAAAGCAATAGTTAGGCCAACAAAACTATCAGACACAGTCTAAGGTCAGTTAAGGACCCCATCAGATAACCTTTAGCAACACCCGGAGTGTACCGGACTCCTTATTGCTGCGGGTCGGCCTACATTGTAACCAGGAAAAGAAGCGTAGGTACCCGTCTCTCTGGCCGAAGACTCTACCTAAAACGGCCCAGGTGAAGCTTTCAGGCTATTGAGACCGGCTTGTCTGGCTGTCAGTGGTGTCATCAGTACCACACCATCAGCTGCCATGGAGATCCTTCTAGATCTACCTCCTCTCCACATTTTTCTGGAGAGGGAGACTGGATGGACTGCATATAGACCTGTGCACATTGCCAATTGTACAAATCAATTTGAAGCAGAGTGCAACAGACTGTTGGTTGACAATGGAAGTCACAGCATTCTTGAAATGACCTCTGACTTTATGCCTCCAACTGTCAACTACGAACTGCCTTATAAAGTACTATTCCCGAGTAGAGAGGATTGGATCCTCTGGGAGAAGGAAATATTAAGAGCAGATAGTTGTTGGTTCACAGATGAATCAAAAACACTTTCCGGTTCTGGTGCAGGTGTTTTCAGTCGCAGACCCAGGACAGAGATATCTACCTGCCTAGGAACTTATGCGACTGTATTCCAAACGGAAATTTACGCTATTGAATTGTGTGCGGAGAGATTGGAATAATCCAACCTCATACACAAGTCAACAAAATATTCTCGGATAGTGAAGCGGCTTTGGAAGCTCTTGGCTCCTACCGAGCAACGTCTAAATTGGTAGCAAACTGCCAAAAAAGACTCTCCTCGATAGGAAGACTAAACTGATTGTCTCTGGTCTGGATTCCTGGCCATACTGGCCTGGAAGGCAATGAAGCTGCTGACTCTTTTGCAAAGGAGGGTTCTGCAAGCGGCTCCATTGGACCAGAACCTGTCATTGGCATCGCTTTAAGCTTTGCCAAACAAAGATTGAACACCTGGATGGCAAGAAGATTTATGGACTTCTGGCAGAATCTTCCAGGATTGGCTCACTCCGAAGCTTAGAACAGTTGTTGGACTACAGTCCAACAACTAACAACTAACAAATAGCTGATATGAAAGAAGTCTATCCAGAAAGGCATAATCAAATAATTTAGAAATACCATATGGGACTGAAATAGGATGATAATTTTCTATCAAAGTCGTGCCAAGTTTTTTAAAAATCTATAGGAATGTCTTTTCCAGTTTTTAATTGCTTAGGAAAAACTCCTGATGAGAACGACATATCGATCAAATGTGTTAATGGTTGTTTTAATAAAGGAAGAACTTTTTAGTATAAACATCGGAATGTCATCTGGACCTGACGATTTTTTATTTTCAAGTTGATCAATGAATGAAATAATTCAACTTTTTGTAAAAGGATAGTCAGGCTAATAGATGATAATCATATATGAAAAATACACTCCCCTTACACAAATATTTTACCAAATATCTAGATATATGCCATAAAAAAATACAAATTATTGTATACATGAAAAAACCAACTAAAACTAAACTAGTTACTAGTTGATGACCACAGCACTGTTTTGATTTGCTATTGATCTGAACTGTGGTTCGGGATCATCTAGGTGCCTGCTTAAAATGAAAGCTGCAGGGGTTTTTTTGCAACTTTGCAACTGACTGCCATGGGAACTCTTGTTCACCTTTAAAATTATTGAGTTGAGTTGTCTGACAATTCCATAAATGGCGTTTTCGGAAGATGAATATTGAACATTTTTAGGTTTCAAGATGAAGATTTTTGTTACTGTTTACATGAAGGAATGAATGTTGAAAGTATTTGTTTCGTATTATAAACGTTTTCCGTTATGTAAGTCCGTTGTAAGGTCGACTCTTTCAGTTGTATTGCCAATTGCATATGCAGGAAATTTTCTGTGAAGATTCCTGCACTAACGCCTGTCGGATATGATCCAATGCCCTTCGTGGTATAAGCCAGGGGAGTAGTTGTTTTCTGATAGGCGTCAGTCCATTAAACCTACTGTTTAGGTATATTTGAGAGTGGCTTGAAAGTTTAAAGTTCATTTCTTTAGATTTGTTTACTGCCAGTCTTCAAACATAGCCCACTGACTAATAAGAAAAAGTTTCAATAAGATGAAAAATCTAATAGATATGAGCAGTAGCAAGTCAGCAGTTAGGACTAGAATATCAACATACATCAGTGATAAAGC